TTACCACAGGAAATAACTTGTAAAACACCAGAACCGAAGTTTTCAGAATCCCAACTGCAACTACTCAAGAAATACCCAAACATGCTTATTACTTCTTTTGAACTGGTCACTTCTGCTGACGATTTAGCGATATACCCGAAGACATCCTAATGACACGCAAGACACTGTGAAGTCTGTTGGAAAGTAGATTCAAGAGACTTTATTTTGCTTTACATTGACTTTCCAACTCCCACCTCCACAGCAGATGATGTACCTCGAACGATAAAATACTGCTCCAAGCTGCATGATAAGCCATTAAGTTTGTTTACTTCATTCCCAGAACTGCTAAATACTAAGCTTTTGTTGTGAAAGGCAATGGTGTTCTGAAATACGAAAACGCGGGGAAGAAGTAGACAACTTTAAATCCAGGAAAAAATATGATATAGCACGAAATCAACACTTTATTCCCATTCTGCGCTGAAATCACCACAACTGAATCTCATGAAAATCATGCATTCTTGGAACTAACATACAACTGAGGGCCGTCTATAAATTCAAGTTGACAGAAACAAGACTCACGAGTGTAACCATTAACAAAGTACAAACGTGAACATGAGATTTACTTAAAAAACTGAAACCTGATTCACGTGGTCTTACGTAAAGTAGCAGTTCTACCCGCTATAAAAAATAAAACTAGTGGCTTCTAAGTAATAAAAAGCGCCAAATAACAAGTTCTTCAACGAAGCGAATTAAGTCCAATACCTACACAACAAAGACAAGATGCGCAAAAAATGCCAGATTTATAAGCACTTGAAAATCACAAAAAATCCTCCTCAGGTCAAAAATGAAATACCGCTCCACCTATATACAGGTAAAACTCAATCTATATTCAAAACCCCTCTAACACAAGCATCCCGTCAACAATTTTTCAAAAACCAACAAAACACACAATTCATTAATATTTGAAATACAGTAGTTTTCACCAGGACACACTGAAAAACTTGACTAGCCTAAAGTTCGCCTGAATCAATCCCTTTCTACGCATAATCTCATTCGGTTAATATAACCTATACACTGAAAACCACTGTAAAAAAATCACCGTATTTCTTTGACTGCTAAGCGAAAGTACGGACGATTAACAGGGTGATTGTCATAAATTTTTAATAAAGGATGTCCGGAATCAACTGGAGGACCAATGTCGCAATTACCCAACCAAACATGCAACTCAGTAAACACAGTCCTCAGTTCCTTACTGTTTCTGCCCCTTTTTTTCCACTTCTCCGCTTCAAAAGTTAAATTGTCTCGGAATTCATCAAATGGAGATTTCTTCCAAGCACTATCAGTTTCAAGGGAAACACGTTCTCCAATTCGCCACTCACCCTGTAAATCTATCATTGCATCCCGTCGGCGACGAGGTAGTCGAACTACAGAAATATCTTCTGCGAGTTCCGCGATATTAGAATGCATAAAAGGATTCAATTTCTGAAAAAATGTTTGTAATTAACTGATTATAAAAAACCATGAAGCGGACTTTTTCCGTTGTAATCTTCCAAATACCTCAAAACAAAACAAAAATTACCAACGATGAGAAAGTCATTACCTCTCTACGCTCTCTCTCTAAAGTGTAATCGTTGAGAGCGTCAACTATCTCGGTCGTCAGTGAAATACATCCGGAAATATCAAGGCAAACGAGATCCTGAGTAAAAAACACAAAACAGAGAATTTCCAAGAAAACAGCGCAAATTTAAAGAGAAAAAACTTTTCAGCTACCTTGCACGATT